CATTCCATCGCAACGCATGGCCCCCAAGGCCAAGCCCAAGGCCAAGCCCGCGGCAGCACAATCAAAGGCGAAGAAGACCCCTCTGGAGAGACTGAAGGACGAGCTGTCCCAGGAGGAGCTCGCCGCAGCCACGAAGGCTCTGGAGAAGCTCGGGTACGACTCCAAAGAGAAGAAGCGAGTGGAGTCGTCGATGACGCACTACTTGAAGCAATCAGGAGAACTTCCCCAAGGTGAGGGACTCGATGGTGGACGTCGCCGAACATTCCCGTTGAATTTCCTTGCGATGAAGGCCCGCGAGGGCGGACAGAAGACGTACGAAGGTAGCCGGCAGATCACGCACAAGAACACCGCAGGGGTGCATAAGCAGTGTATGGGGAAGGAGCAGATGGAGCGTGTATACGGTGAAAAAAGAGTTCGTCGTTGGATCGACAGCGGCAATTCGAGGCAGCGGCCCGACAAAGTGACAGGGCCCATGGAAGAGGATATGTGCGAGTGGCAGATCCAGGACGACTTCGAGGGCCAGGGGAACGGCGAGCACGCGAAGATCGGCATGCACGTCAACGGGGATGCTGATATGGAGGGCGCCTTGTCTGACCAGATGAGCGACATGGCAGGGTCGATGCTGCCAAGCTTGACGGGCTCTGCTGGTTCGGCTGACCCTATCCCCGTGAAGCCCGAGGAGGCGCCTGGGGAGATCAACCCGCTCGACAAGCTCGACATCACGAAGGGCGCGATGGGCATTCTCAGCAAACTTCGCAGCATAGAGATCGAGTGCAAGGTGATGCGCGAGTCAGCGAGTCGCATCGAGTACGCCAAGCAGCTGCACGACGACGCGGTTTCATTCCTTCCAAAATTGGCCAGCTGCATCAAAGCTGTCGAGAAGCTGGTGCTGTGCAACAAGAGCGAAGTTCTTGATGTGGGCTCGATCCAGGCTCTGGACGGCAAGGTCTCGATGAGCATGGCCAAGTTCAAGACCATGCAGGACTGGGCCGTCCAATTCGGAATTTCGAAACCTCCTAAGAGGGGAAGGGCAGCCTAGCTCGGGAGTCAACTCGACTCCCTACCTATACTCGGCCTCCACCTGCTCCTCCTGCCATTGTGTACTTGTGCAGAATGGGCTTTTGAGTTTTAGCCGACTGGGGTGTCGGGCAAGAGAGTTCAGAGCTCCTAAGAATAGTCGAAAAAAAGAACTGACTGAGCAAATCTTCCGTCACCGTCATCGTCATAGTACTTATTTTCATCATTACGCATACTCGTTATCGCCATCATCGTCATCATTATCATTAGCACCGTCATCGCAGCCATCCTCACCATTATCACAATCAACATCATCATCATCAACATCATCAGCATCAACATCATCATCACCATCACCGTCATCGTCACCATCATCATTGTCATCATCAGCACCATAATCGTGCATACTTGGGGACTTATGGAGGCCTCCCTTGCGCCACCTCCTGCGACTCTAGGGCTACCTTGAGGCCTCAGGGGGTCGTCTTGCATTCAAGACGTCTTGGGAGGAAGCAAGCGACTCCCGACTCGTACGCACCTTGTTTCATGTTCTCGGACACGCGCGAGCGTGAAGATGAGCAGGGGAGGGGGAGGAGGAGGAGGAGGATGAGGAGGATGAGGAGGAGGATGGGAAGCAGGAGGAGGAGCAGGAGGAGCAGGAGGAGGACACTGATGAGATCCCGTGCGGTTGGCACTTCTATGTCCTTGCGACTGCGTGAATGGCTGGTGCGGAGTTGCCCTTTCTATGTTTGAGGGTCTGAGTCTCGTAGCACCCATCGTGTCCGTAGCCCATGTGGGCCCAAGCAATTTGGTGCATGAAGCGAGGCTTGCTAGGCCGATTAGCGGGGGGGGGCTCCAGAAACGCATGGGGCAAGCTCTTCGCAGGCGACGGTCGCACCTCCAGGCGTTCGCAGAAAGTTGGCGGCTGCTGAGCGAGATGAGTTAGACAAGAGGCATGCTGCCATCCACGAGGGGTCTTCGAGTTTGCCTTTTAAACAGGACCCTTCTTAAAAAATGGGCGAGGGGTGAAATTAGCTCGTCCGCTGTCCAGGAGATAGCGATGGCTGCTACCACACAGGGTACAGTTGGAGCTGAACGGTATGCTAAGCTGGGCGCAGTCGGTCATCAACCTGGCAATGTTTTTCGCGATCTTGTGCAAACGATTGGTTATCCCGTGGGGTCGTCTGCAATTTCTTACCCGCGAATGCCGTGCCCCGCAGGTCCGAAGAGGATCGCTGTACTGCTACCGCATATTATGTTTGAGCAGATGTATGTTGAAAAACAAGTCGAGTTCAAGAGGTCGATATTAGGTGGTCTACCCGATGCTCGAGATTTTTGGAACTCTGAGTCTGGCCGAGCGTTCGCAGCCCAACACCCGATTCTTAGGGCGAAGTCCTTGGATGAACTTTCAAAAACAATCCCCCTTGGCCTGCATGGGGACGGGGGAGAGTACTCACACCAAGATTCAGTGTATGTAATTTCTTGGAACAGCCTGATAGGACGTGGAGATACCAGATCAAAGAAATTCGTGTTCGCCATGTTGAAAAAAAACTGAGTTGAACAATAAGGTGTGGGATAAATTGTGGAATTTTTTCAGATTCTATGATCAAGCTGTTGCTGGGAAATAGCCAGATAGCAGGAGGGTTTGGAGGAAGCCTCTTGCAGTTTAGGGGAGATTGGGCGTTCTTCTGCGAAGTGCTGGGATTTCCGAAACATAATGAAAACGAGAATTGCTGCTGGAAGTGCAAGGCGTCCATTTCCATCCCAGAGCTTCGATTTACAGATGCTACCGACGAGGCGGGGTGGAGGGCAACCGTACGAACTCATGAGAGCGACCTTGATGAGTTGAAGCGTGCAGGAAAACCAGTTCCACCTTTGTTTCGATATGCGATTGGATTCAGAATGGAGCATTGCATGATTGATGTACTGCACTGTGTAGACCAAGGGGTCACTGCGCACGTAATCGGTTCGGTCTTGATGGAGTGTATGGCCCCCTTTGGGCCCAACCAGGATGCCCAGGTAAAGCAGTTGCAAGAACGCTTGAAACAATGGGAAGCTGGCCGAGGCACTTGGCATCACAGGTATGCTGGCAAGCTCACGCTTGAACGACTTCGGAGCTCAAGTGGCTTCAGCAAGTTGAAAGGCAAAGCGGCGATGGTTCGACATATGATCGGTTTCGCTGTGATGTTGGCAGAGGAGCAAAATGATGGCTCTGTGCATTGTAGTCGGCGCCTCGCAGTAGCTAGGCTCATTGAACGTTTTTACCAGATTCTCGTTGAAAACGATATGTTCATTGTTGGCGCCGAACTTCAGGAGTCGAAGAGTTTGGGGAAAAAAAGTGATGATCCTCTACAACGTTTTGAGCACAGAGGCGGCCTCAAGGCATGCCAAGCTGTGGAAATATGTGCCAAAATTTCACATGTGGGTTCACTTGTGCGAAGAGCAGGGGTTCATGATGAACCCCAGGTTCTTTTGGACCTACGGGGACGAGGACTTGGTCGGTAAAACAATCGAAGTTGCACAGACAGTGCATCCGAGCACCCTGGCAGAGACTGCGTTGTTCAAATATCTCGTGGTCACGTTTGGCTGCTGAAATAACAGAACATCCTCATCTCCACGGCATCATCTTGGCCCGATGATGGTGATGATGATGATGATGATGACGATGATGATGATGATCAGGATGTTGTTGTTTATGATGATGATGGATGAGGATGATGAGGATGATGATGATGATGATGATGATGATGATGACATTGATGATGATGATGATGATGATGATGATGATGATGATGATGATGACGATGACGGCGACGACGACGATGATGATGATGACGATGATGGTGGTGGTGGTCATGATTATGGTGAGGAGGAGGAGGAGGAGCAGCAGGAGCAGGAGCAGCAGCAGGAGCAGGAGGAGGAGGAGGAGGAGAAGCAGCAGGAGCAGGAGCAGGAGCAGGAGCAGGAGCAGGAGCAGGAGCAGGAGCAGGAGCAGGAGCAGGAGCAGGAGGAAAAGCAGGATGAGGAGGTGGAGGAGGAGGAGGAGGAGGAGGAGGAGGAACAACAACGACATCAGCGTCAACAGAATCAACAGCAACAGCTAAAGGATGAAAGCGAATAATAATATAAGGAAGAGGAAGGAGGAAGAAACAGAGTTGACACGAGAGGATGAGGAGGGGAGGGGCGGGAGGATGAGGCGGCACAGAAAACGGGCGACGACGATACAGATGATGAGGGCCACCGTCAATGCAACCAAATGGGCGGGGAACGAACGCGAGAAACAGTAGGAGTCAGTATGCGTCGGCAACATGATCTATGTGTCTGCGCACGCACGAGCGGCCAACTCATACAAATAAGAGAATAAGAGATGCTCTCTCCTAAAATGCGAACACGTATGTCTTGCTGCCTATTCTAAGGGACCACTTAGATCTAGACCCTGTCGGATGCTCGGGGCCTGGGACGAGCGCGGACGCGGGACCCGGGACGAGCGCGGAACCGGGAACCCGGGACCGTCGGCGCCATCTCATCATCATCATCATCATCATCATCATCATCATCATCATCATCACCATCATCATCATCATCATCACCACCACCACCACCACCACCATCATCATCATCATCACCACCACCACCACCACCACCACCACCACCACCATCATCATCATCATCATCATCATCATCTTCATCATCCAGAGCGCCCCGGATCGGCGGCACTGCCCGGAGGCCACTACAATACACGCACATACAAAGATTCCCCATGGCTTCCTATATTTTAGGGTGGTTTTCGTCTTCCCCCCACTTCCCATATTTCCCATATTTCCTGTGGAATCGACGATTAATTGTGTCTGTGTGTTTCTGTGTGTTTTTGGTCCCTCCTGAGCATGATTGATCTGTGATGGCACCAGTGCCCGAAACCTGGCGAAAACGCCGGGTGTGAAAAAAATACAGCGCCCAGATCTCAGGGCCCTTCCTCTGCCGAGTACCGTGCGACTGCTCGTACACCACCTGCCTGTTCATGGTCTTCTTGATCCTAACAGGAGAAGAAAGCCATAAAAAACTGTTGGAGAGCTGCGCGGATTTTCTTGGATCGACGCTCTGGACCCCCCTCCCTGGCGCGCGGAGCGCGCAAAGGGTGGCGCCAGAGGTGCCGCCAAGGGGGCCCAGCGCCGATCCAAGAAATCCGCACGGACCTCCGAAAATTTATTCCGCACGGTCGAACTGGGCACGGGAAGAACGGGCACGAAGACTGACAGCAGTTCCTGCCCATTTTGAACAGGGCTCGCTGCCCGCACAGCCGCGGGCGTTGTCCATCTGAGACAGCAGAACGCCTTCCCAACAGCGGCCGCCGCCGGCTTTGGACAACATCCGTTGGGCATCGTGACAACTTTTCCCGTGCACGTTTCGGGCGCCCCAATGTGTGCGTCTGGCGCTCTTTCACTTCCGATGGTCCGGCGCTGCATGCGGCGCCGCTGCGTGCGAGTCGGCACCCCGAGCTCCAGGGAGCGAAGCTCGGAGCCGCTGCCGCTGCCCTGCTCGAAGCATGCCGCCTGTGCCAGGCGCCTGGGCCACGGGACCTCTCGCGAGGCGGAAAAAACATGTCCGTGTCCGCGGCCTCGCTCCCCAGCCAGAGGCACACACCCCTGTGATGGGCATCAGCTTACCTCGATGCCGATCGCAAGGCTCACCTCGGCTTCTGAGGACGCCTTGCCAATCGCAGGGGGTGGGACGAACGAGTCCGAGGCCGGTTCTTCGAGGGCCGCTGGGTGAGCCTTCACGGGAGCCTCCCCGGACCTCCGCGGCCCGTGGTCCCGCGTGGGTTTCGTCCAGGTGTGGACCATCCCTCTTCGCGCCTTCGCCCAGAGTTCGTCCAGATGTCGACCGAATCCGGCGAACTCTACACGAAAACTCCAGACCGCAAGGGATTCTGAGACCCTCTGAAGCCCCCCCCCCATGGAGGACCACACAAGGGCCGGGCCCCTGGACCGCGACCCCGCGGACACGGAGCGTTTCTTCGCAGGTGCCCCGCGCGGAACGCTCCCGTGCGCATCCGCAGGACATCACTCCACAAGCCAGACCGCGAGGGCGTGGGTGTGGGTGCGTTCGCCGCTCGTGCACCTCCTCCTCGCGCGGGAAGAGCGGCACCTTGACGGGGAGACAAAGGAAGCGAACATCAACGAAAACGTTTTTGCATGCTCCGCAATAGCGGCCGTTACCGGCCCTGGCCGCCCCCCCCCCTCACCAATGAACGGCACGACTCGTGCTGACGTCCGACCTGTCACTGACTATTCCGCTGTTTATAGACATTCCTGGACGGCGTTGGCGCGAAACGTGACGCTACCGCGCCCTCCCCCTCCCCCCCCGTAACGCCCGCGATCGCCCGGGAGTTACGAAACGCTCTCAACTTCCGGAGCCCCGCGGGAGAGCCCTCGTCGCCGCGGTTGGATTATCCTCGAAGTTCTGGTCTGACTGCACCCCCGGCAGGGGTCTGGGCAGCGGCGGCATCGGTATTCTTTCGCCCCCCAACAATGCACGAACATAGATTTTCAGTCAACGCGGATTGCTCGGATCGGCGCTGGGCCCGCCCTCACTGCGCCGGGAACGCCCCAATTGGCGCGTTCCGCGGCGCGCAAGCTGGGAAAAGCCCAGCGCCGATCCGAGAAATTCGCGCGGAGCTCCACAAGTGCATGTGCACGCCGCTGATCATCATCATCATCATCATCATCATCATCATCATCATCATCATCATCATCATCATCATCATCATCATCATCATCATCATCATCATCATCATCATCATCATCATCATCATCATCATCATCATCATCATCATCATCATCATCATCATCATCATCATCATCATCATCATCATCATCATCATCATCATCATCATCAGTCATCATCATCATCATCATCATCACCATCATCATCACCACCACCACCACCACCACCACCATCATCATCATCATCAGTATCATCATCATCATCATCAGAGTCATCACCACCACCACCACCATCATCATCATCATCATCATCATCATCATCACCATCACCATCATCATCCTCCGCCTCCTCGGCATCAGAATCATCACCACCACCACCACCATCATCATCATCCCCATCATCGTCGTTATTGTCATCATCATCAACAACAGCATCAGCATCATCATCAGCATCGTCATCATCATTACCTGCATCATCATAATTATATCATATATTTTATGTTAGTAGTAGTAGTAGTAGTAGTAGAGTAGTAGTAGTAGTAGTAGTAGTAGTAGTAGTAGTAGTAGTAGTAGTAGTAGTAGTAGTAGTAGTAGTAGTAGTAGTAGTAGTAGTAGTAGTAGTAGTAGTAGTAGTAGTAGTAGTAGTAGTAGTAGTAGTAGTAGTAGTAGTAGTAGTAGTAGTAGTAGTAGTAGTAGTAGTAGTAGTAGTAGTAGTAGTAGTAGTAGTAGTAGAAGTAGTAGTAGTAGTAGTAGTAGTAGTAGTCATAGTAGTAGTAGTAGTAGTAGTAGTAGTAGGAGTAGGAGTAGGAGTAGGAGTAGGAGTAGTAGTAGTAGTAGTAGTCGTAGTAGTAGTAGTAGTAGTAATACGATGTTGTAGTACTACTACTGGTAATGTTAATAGTAACGTCAGCAGTAATGAGATTCAACATCTGCTCATTCGGAATAGTATGATTCGCCTGTTCTCCAGTAGTATCCACTTGGGGATATTTGTTCTCGTAGGCATGTGTTTATAATGATCAAGTTGTTCTTCATGTACTCGCATGGCGTCTAGCATCGGCCTCATGTTGGGTTTCGGGGTGGAGGCCCGCCAGTCGACACAGCGCATAGGCAGTGTCCGGAAAGCGATATGCGCAACAGTAAGATGCGCATGAAGCGGACCGGCCGGCCGAGGGGAGGACGCAGGGCGGAGCGCGCAAGGGGCCTTTTTCCTGACCGATGCGCAGAAGACTGCGCATAAGTATATATGTCGTATATATGTATATATAGCCGCCAAACCAATGTTGGAGTGGTCGTCTGCCTCGCGCCCTGCGTCGAAAGGCGCTGAGGCTGCGGGGCGGCGGGAGCCGCCGCTGACGATGCCCAGTTTCGGACATGCAGTTTCCACGGCGTCGGCGGGCGATCGCGACGACGCACTGGCGGAGGACAATCGCGAGGCCCCTGGCTGCCACGGCTCCGGAACTGCGGACCCCGCCCTCCGCCCTTGCCGGCGGCGGCAGGGGAGATGCCGCGGTCAGATTCCACTGAACTACCCTTCCCCGCCCAGGTCCGCAGACGTGCCGCGGACGTGCCGCAGGCTGGCTGGATCGCAGGCGCTCGCCACCCGCGCGACCGCGCTGCTCATCAGGCTCCGACGCAGCGCCCGAAACATAGTTCCGAGTCACTGGTTGGCCCCGCGAATTGCGCCTCGGACCCATCGGGCGGGCTGAGACGCGGCTGACGTGGACCGCATCTCGAGCGCGATCATCGCCACGTCAACGACGCACCGGGGAGGTGTTGGACCGCCATGCGCCAGATGGCAGAGCGATCAGGCGCCGAGAAATACGCCGTGGTGCGAGTGAGATGTCCACCTTCACGTTGCTGAAGATACTGGAGACAGTCTTCGATCCTTGCACCGCTGTCGTTGACGACTTCCTTCATGTCATGGGCCACGTCCGCGAAACACTCGTAAATAGTGGTGACGGTCTCCATGTGCGCACGCACGATCTTCATCTGTTTCCTCATGTCGTTCACGCACTTGAGCCACACTGAATTGCTGCGATCCAAATCTCTGGCACTCCGCGGCCACGCGTAGTCCTTCGCCTTCTGGACCGCCACGCGATACGTCTGCATCTTCCACCATGAGCCATGTAGCACAGACGCGGGTTCAGTCGGCGAGATCATGAGCCCGCGGAAAGCTGCCCCACCTGAGATTGAACATCCAAGGAAGACTGATTGGAGCCAAAGTATGTTCATGGTATGTTTTGATGAACTTGGGGGCAATTTGGATCCCGGCGCGACCCTGCTCGGCGAAGTCGACATCTCCCCTAACCGCCTTGACGCGGTCAGCACGAAGCGAACGCCCCCAATCCTAGGGGCGCAACCCTGGGCGGGCCGCGGTCGGCAGCAACCCTATGCACTGCGGGTGTGGGTCTATCCTGTCATTTTGAGGCCTCCGCCACAGGCGGTCTCTCCACGGACCGCCAGCGTTCCTCAATCTCATCGCGCATGACGCTTTCAAGGAAGCCCAGCGGGTGAACGTTGACCGCGTCTCAACCTCTGGCCCTTTCTTGCCATCCAACGGACGGCGCACTCTCTCGCGACCCTCGCGGCACTCGGAATCCCGCGCGAACGCCTCGAGGGCAGAATTGTCGCTTAAGTCGCCATCGAGTTGAATCCTCAGGCTGAAGAAGGGCCACCACCCCCACTGGCACGACCGAGCCCTTCCCCCTGGCCAGCGCACCCAGGAAGCCTTGGAACTTGATCCACCGCTGCGCGAACTTCTTGGCCATAGCAAGCTTGGTCACGTCGCGCTGCGACGGGCGCGCGTCGTCGGCCGACTCGGGGAGTCAGGCGACGTGGACCACGGCATTCGCCCGACATGCCGTCTTGCCCTCCAACGCGAGCCTCCGCCTGACAGCGGCGCCTTCTCGGTTGCCCCGCTGCGACTTCCAAGCCGCCCCGTTGACATTGGCGTCCGTTTTTCGTCCGATTTAGCTTTGTCTAGGCGCCATCTGTCCGGAGCCAGCATCATAAATTGCTGAGCCCCGGGACGGACTGTCCAACGGTGATACTCCTCGTTGCGGCCAATCCTGAAGCGGCGCGGCACCGCGCGGCGGGGCGGTCTCGGCTTCGCGCGCGACCTGCGGAAGCCGCAGACGATGCCCCATCAATTACGGCACTCGCACTGCAAACCAAGAAGCCGTCGCCACACCATGGGGGAGGGGGAATCATCTTGTTCCTGCACGTCGTCGTCGAGAGACTGTCTTCTCCATCGTCTGACGATCCCAAGATCTGCCCATCGCATTTGATGCAATCGACGCATGCTAACTCAGGCCTGGGAACGAGGGCGAAACCATGGAGCCCGCGATGGCACGCCAGCTCCCACGATATCTTCTGCACTCCATAGTGGCCTGATGAACCTGCGAATAGTGCCCCGTCGGGCAGCGCCCAGAACTCGCGCCCCTCGAAGACGCCAGCCGCACAGGTCACCGCGACTTGTCCGCCAAACTTCTTCGGGCAAGCCGAAGACCTCAATGTCCAGGCCGGCGCCGGTGAAATCCCGCGCCCATCCATCTGGGCACAACCACTGCGGCATATCGTCGGGCTTCTCAAGGCATTCGCCACGACCGCTCCGGTCGACGACCCCGACGCCACCATGGACTCTCTCGTCAACCTGGGAGGCCCCGTCAACAGAGTTGTCGGCAACCTCATGGTCACCGCGCCCTGCGGAGAGGAAAGTGAGGTAGCGGCACTGCGGCGCCCCCTCAAGATCTTGCTCTGGCCACGCGAACCTTCCGCTCATTGACTGGATCATGGCGGACTCGTCGAGCGGAGCAATGAAGGACGCGTGTATCTCGCGACAGCTGGGCTCGAAACGTACGCGATACCTCCTGGGCTGTAGCACTCAAATGGAATGCCCCTTGCACGCTCGAATGTTTAAATGGCCTTGCTGCTGGTGGCCCATCGTCGCCGCTGCTGGCAACATTGCCGATCGGCAGCTCGCGCCCAAAGCTATCCTCTCTCCATGCGGCTTGGACCCGGGATCGCCCTCGCCGTCTGGGACCTTCACTCCCAAGATCTGCACTGCATTACTTGGCAGGGTAGCCACGGCGTGCATGGAGCGCGCCAAGGCTCGGTCAAAATCCCCAAAATCGATCTGACTAACCTGGGCCCCGATTTCCACCCAGCCTCCTGAGCTCACTACGTGGAAGGAGCTGTGCCTCATTAACCTTAGGACAAGGAGCTCCAACTGCGCCCTCTTCCGTCGATGCGCCACCGAAGCGAGCAAACTCGCTGCGGTCCAAGTCGGGGAAGACGGGCGCGAGACGGCGCGCAGTCACGGCGAGGTCACTCGGTTCGACGGCACGGCGCCTCGCCAGGAGATACCGGCCAACCTCCATTCGCCCATGGATCGACAGGTCGCGTAGGTACTCGCAGAAAGCG